AACCCTATAAAAATGTCCATTTTGCCACGCCTCTTATACCCTACTGCAGCTGCTTCCTCTCCTCATCCCACAGTGAGATATTAAAAGTTTGGACAGAGACTTGTCCAAGTTTATCTGGATGGACAGAAAAAGCCAAGAATGCGCTTGTCAAGGTTACAAATATCTAGGGATTTTTTTAGACTAATTGGCTCTTCAAACTATATAGAGAGGCCTGCCAGCTGAAAATTATTAACTGCTGGCTGAGCAGGGATTATGACATGGAGATGGAGCAGGAATTAGATGCACCTATATCGCTTGAATTCTTACAATGCCATAATAAAGCCATCCTACCACCAGATGTGCTTAAAATGCTCTCAAAAAAGTCTTGAACACCCAGATAGGAAGAGAGCACTTTGAGACATACATTTTTTTTTTATTCTTCTGTCTTGTAACCCTGAGAGATTCTCAATCTAGGATGCAACAGAAATCATGGTATCTCCTGATTCACACATCATGAATAATACTACTTAATGTGCAAACAAACACACAAAAATTAGGACTTGTCCGTCCTTGGCACTTTTTCATGGACATGTTCTTCCAGTAGGCATTTATATTTGTGCTAACTTCAAAAGCTGTTTGGAAATTTACTTTGAGCTTATTTTGATGTCTGTAGGAAAATTACACATAGCTTTTAAAAGTGGTCCACCATATGTTTTCCTATAGTTTGTTTTAAATGCCAGACAGGTAATTATGAAGTGTTGGTTGGTTGATGTCCTTTTTAAGCTTTAACGTATGGTAGAAATTATCATTATGGTCAAGAGGAAGATAGAGCTTTCCTAAGATAATAGGCCTCATGATTTCTCTCACATCTGTCACATCTTGGGAAATAATTGAAAGAAGCAACTTCAGGATGACCTGAAAATAGTTTCCCCCTGTTTATTCTTGCCTCTTTCCTCTGTACAATAAATTTGATTTTGCTTTTTGCTTTTTTTTTTTAGACCAAGTCTTAATAAAAACAACATATCAAAAGTAATTCCATCAATGGTTAGTTCTGTTTGCAAACTTAATTTCTGAATGGAGATGTCTAAGGTGTCTAATACAGGCTACTGTGTTTTTGTTACTGTATTACATTAAATTCAATGCTCTTTGCACAAAGAATGTTCAACAAGTATTCCCATAATAACTAAAAAGTTTCCAAACATTGTCATGTCTATAGCTTGGTGCGCAGGATATAAACTTATGTCTTACCCTATTCAGGAAGAAGGACATATCAAATACCTTGCTCTACAGTCTCATTATAGTAAAGCCACGTGGGTCCAGGAGAAAAGATATTTAGAAGAGAACATTTGCTATAATGGGCTTAGTCAATTCAGTGCATCCTAGTAATAAAAAATCAGTTCCTGCTGTTGGGATTAAGAGTGAGCTGTCCTGAACAGGGTTTCTTATAACATGGTGGTATTCCAGAAATAACAATTCTCCAGCAGTGCCATGCCCTATGTCCAGATTGTCTGAAAACCAAGCACAGTGAATTTGGCACCTGAAAATGTCCAGCAGTAGGTTTAGGTCATTAACTCTTTAGAAAAGAACGTGTCTCCTAACCTGTGTGTGTAAAATCTAGCACAACAGGGCTCTGGATCTAAGTTGAATCATACTAGGTGATATTACAAGAATAATATACAAACGTGTAGATACTGGTGCCACACACAAGCACACATATTCTGTTATAATTACAATGACAAATATGTCAGAAGCATTCCTATTCTAGGAAGAAGAAATAATACCACCTGTGTAATCACACAGTACAGTACCAGTTTAATCCTGGAGCAATTTAATTAAAGTCAATGAAGCTGCATAGCTGTAGAGCTAGTGCAGAGGGAAACCAGGTCATCTGATTTACAGAATTCCCCTCTTGAAGGTTTTTATACACTGTGGAAATAAAATGCCTGCTGCTGCTTACATGCACCAGCTTTCCACTACAGGAATTCAATTTATTTCAGTAGCAACACTTCCAATTTATAACTCTGGAAGTGACATCACTATTTGGCTCAATGTATGTAACCTTCAAAATGCAAAACAAATGCTGAAGTATGATGCTAGGTTTCCTTTCACTTGCCATTCATCTTTTTGTTGTGGACAACCAAGGACATTTTCAGTACTGTCAACAAGCCCTTTTCATCTCCCGACAGATAGGCTTATGGTGGCCAGCCAAAGGGTTAGTTTTGTCTTTGATCTGTATAAAATCGTTAGAAGCTTTTCCTTCCTGAAGAAGCCTAGCAAAACAAAAGGGAAGCAACAACACTTTCAGTAGTCCAATTGCCATATGTGATTATACGGAAGAACAGAGCAGAATGAAGCTCAGATGCTACAGAATTCCAATTACTCAGAGAAGATCACAAATATCAGCATAATTCTCATAGCTGGCATCTCATAGAAGTTACAAAGGAGCAATTAAACAGTAGATTCAACCTACTGCTTTTGTAGGCAGGGACATCTTCACTGAAGTCAACCGAATAGTTTTTAACAAATGGTACATGTTAAAAGCTTGAATAATCATCTATGTTGAAAAAATATTTTAGCACTGAACACTAAGCACAATCAAAAATATAAATTATTACTTATTTGCTATTTACTATTCTATCCACACATATTTATATATGATTGTCTAAGTTAATATTCAGTGCTACACTGATTTTTATATATGAGAACACACAATTTTGGAAAGGAAAATCCTTTATGCCCTATTCCTGTTTCCTGAGACAGTTTTATCCTGTAAAATAAATGAAATGGTGAGATTTGAAACTGGAATATAGATCTTTGATTCTCTAGTTATGTTTAATATAAACCATTTAAAGCTGCATTAACCATTAAGAAAATCCATACCTCCACTTAAAACTTTTTTTTCAGTTTATAATAAAGTGTTACGGCCTCAGTGTAGAATATTTCCTGAGGATCCATTACCACTTAAAATATCTGAATATTTCTGGACCTTTGGGTGATCGTGCAGACAATAAAATGCACATATTATATGCATGTCAAAACAAGTATGAGGCACTTTCCTAGAGCTCTTATTAAAGCAAGACTCTGCTTGAAGTCTGTTGAGTATATTAAATTCAATGGCATTTTTTGCTGAGAAAGAATTGCAAGATTGAGCCTATTCAATATTACTATTTATTCCCCCTCTACATCTTAATTAATTCCTTCTCTGTGATACCAAAAGGGTGTTAATTATATTCGTACTAAAAAATTTAAGCTAATTCCCATGAAACAACAAGGGTTTAATGCCCACTCTCATATTTAGCAAAATTAGTGTTAATTGACATTATCTTCATGTCATAAGAGATATTACTGACTTGTATACAGAGGAAATTTTGGAAAACCATTTTGTATGTGGGTCTTTGGAAGCCCTCCAGAGTAAACCCACTTTTATTTGCTTGTGCACATATGGATGTACAGGTATACATCTATAAATGGATCTGCTTTTAATTGAGCTGTACTATTTTTAGAAAATGTAAACTAAATTCAGGGTAATGGATCTGTCTTTAACATCTTCTCATAAGATCAAGCTTCACGAAGCTCCATCATCTTTAAATTAACCACCAAAATCAGTAACATGAATATTACTACACATGGTGAAGTGTTTCTTGTTCACAATATCATCTACTATTTATCCAATGAATTCTAGCTAATGGAGATGATCACACTTTTCTGCATGGAATCTGTTCAATATGCTATTCAGGTTCTGTTAGTGCATGAATCTGTAACAAGGCACCTGAGCACAGATCATTTGTTTCAGATGCAGTCCCTTAATAATTTATCAAATGCAGACGACTTATCATTGTGATGTATACAATCTGGAAGGAGTTAAATATGCATGAATACATAGCAATATTGTGTTTAGTAGGATCACGTAGGCTGAACATGCAGACAAGAACTCTCCTCAATATATGTGCATATAGGATTATTTACTAGTAAATAAAGAGAACTTTAAAACATTAGTAAGAGTTGAGTTAAAGCATTAGTGCGTTTAGCCCAGGCCCCTCAAACACTTCACTGCAAGCTTTTGTTTAAAGCACTGATACAGTTCCACTGATAAGTCAGTATGACTCCATAACAAAAAATTAAGCACGTGCTTATGTGTTTTGTAGGATCTGGGCTTCAAGAGAAGGAAACTAATACCAGTGATAAGAAATGACATTGTCTCCTCTTATTTCACAGAACAGGCAGCAACAGATTTTCTAAAAGACAACAGAATAAATGGTATTTTCTGATCTAGACTTCCACTATTTCTGCCATCATTTGGAAATTTACCACAGTGGAAAACTCTTTGCAGAAGACTGGCATAGGTACATTTAGAATGTGCCGAATTGGTTGATTTACTCAAGCAGGGCTTTAAAGTGCATTTTCTGTTTCAGGAGTTGCAGAGCATATATTCTAGGTATCAAGACAAAATTTCTCCACTGCCCTCTTCTCTGTCATCCCTGCCTCTGCAATTAGCAATAACATTTTTTGTTAGTTTAAAAATAAAACTCTAACTTATATTTTTCTTTTAAACTAATACATGTGTTTCAAGTTTATATCTGGGATATAACAGAATCATCATCAAAACTTTCAAGATACTTCTGATTCTTATTTTAACTAAGTTTTACCAGAAACCCTACTGCAACCTTAGTTAAGTTTGCCTATTGTGAGACGCTTTTGAATGTCACATTCTGCCAATTTTTATGTAATTTACTGACATTCAGAAAGCAGGCAGAAACAGATATAGAAAAACAATGAGTCAAGTAGAGTTTCTAGTAGGTTTACTAAATTTACAAATTTGTTTTGCAAGCATGAAAAATTAACATTATCATTTTAGAATTAATGTTTAATTTGATACATTAGGTTGTCTAACTCTCTTGTATAGGTACTTTAGCCGTGACAAAACAAGTGAAGTCTATCAGCCAGAAAAGCAGTGAGGAGATTGCCTACTGCTGGTACCAATAAATATTAAACATTTCAGACCCATTACTATCTATCAGTACCTGTCTTTCAGTGAGGTCCAGATTTACTGCTATCTCATATCTTCTCAGCCTGGTCAGGTAGTTATGATGGGCAAATTCTGCTTCTAGCTCTCTGATTTGTTCCTTGGTGAAAGCTGTCCTTTCCTTCCTAGGTTTACTGTTCACCTCTGACTTGTAATTTCCTTCTTGGGAATCTGAAATGAAAGAAATATAAACATGTAAGTCATGGTAATTCAGGAACCAAAAATCTCACAAATTTGTGCTGTACTTGCCTAAACTTGACCCACCCTGGAATGGCAGAAAAGCACCAGGATACTCCACTGCCAAACAGAAAAGTAGCAAGCATTCAAGAACAGTGCACTGCTTCTACTTCATTAATTCTACAGACCCACTGACTTTGTTCCGTCCTCTGAACTGCAAAACTCCTGAAAGCTTCAAACATTTCCCACTTTCTGAAACTCTAAATACACTAAGAGCATGGGTAGAGATTAGGATGTATACTTTCTGGCCAGTGACCTACCGGATGAGTAGAAATACAGTTGGCTTCATCTTATCCTTTCACTAATAATTTAAAGTTCTCTGTGCTATAAACCAAATATTCAATGATCCTTAACTCTATCTCGAACAAAATAACATAAATATAAAAAAGCATGTGAAATTCAGTCAACTACAAGATACTACTATTACAAAATTAAAGGGTGGAACACTTAGGCATGTATTGATGCACAGTCCCTTCATAGCATCTACTGAAGAAATGCATAAGCATATGAAGGGACTCTTTATAGCACCTGATGAAGTACACTGCTCCTAATGAAATCTTATACATCTCTGATTTAGGCAGTCTATCTTCTTCTAGATGTAGATATACAACAATTCAACAACTTTGGGATGTGATACAGAAAGTGCTACTGCCACGCTAAATCCATGCCTTAAAGTATACATGCTGCCATGATTGTAGCAGCTACATTAACATTCCTCCATCAGCCCTCATGGTTTCCATTAGTCTGGGACAGGTCATGACGCAGAACAACTGAAGTCAATGAAACACTTTCCATTGCTATTATACTCCAACTGAATACATGCTATGATCTAGTTGTCAAATAGCCAACATTTTATTCACATAAAATGTCATTACCTCTGGGTTTTTTTGTTTAAATTCATGGCTAGGCACCACACAACACTGTTAAGTCCAAAATTAGCAGGTGCTCAACATGAAAATCACTGGTCAACTTCTGGCCCCACAAACCATCTTAAAAATGTCACAGATACATTCACACTTCAGCTGCTGATTTAAATAGAAACCTGCGTCACCTTCCAAACTGACAGGCCCATAAGCAGACTCCCTATGACTTTTCTTTGTCAGATGACTCATCAAAATGCCTAAAGTTGTCCAGAAGACCACTAAGCCCAACAGCAAAGCTATGATAAGTTATGAAGGTCTATGAAAGCAAAAGGAGAATGGATATGGTGCAGAGTTACCTTCCTTGTCGCATAAGAAAAGAACCCTCAAATTGGAGTGTATACAAGTAATATTATAGCCACAGATTTAGGCTGCCAAAGGTCATGATTTTACACCCCAGTGGAGTAAAAAAGACAAATTATTCAATTAAAGACACAGAAGTTACTGTAATAGTATAGCAAAACTTGGGAGGGGACATGGAAAAATGCCCCTACCCCATGTGAAACCCAGATTTTTCAGTATCTAGTTACAGTTCAGCTTGTGCCCAGCCAAAGAAGTAGGCATATACTCAAAGGCTAAGTACAGACAGCCAAAACCCAAGGCTGAATCAATTCAGTCTTAGCAGGTTAGTCTATGCTGCAGAGAAGCAGGTGAACAGACATTCACTTTTGATTCAGGAAATGCAGCCACATGACTTCAGTGGCTCAGGCCAGAAGCCAGGGTGCACTAGAGCCTGCCTCCCAGCATGCCAGCCACTGCCAAAGGGAAGGTACTGAAGATCCAAGGCTTTTGACCCACCCCCACTCCACCCCAGCAGAGCAGGTGTAACCAGGTCCCAGCTCTGGGCTAGTACACTGGAATTTAAATCCCCTCCTTGGCCCATAGCAGACCCCAGCCAGGGTCTGCCTGGGTTTGAGGAGCAATGCCTGCCAGACTCTTCCCCCTCCCCCATGCCCTGGGGGAGCTGAGGGGAATTATGCCCCCTGCCCCTATCAACTGCTTGCCTGCCTTAGTCTCTGCTAGACTGAGGCACAGTGAGCCATGGAAGGGGGGAATTAAAGTCCCTCTGAGACCCCAGATGGAGTTTGCCTGAGGGGCGGAGGGCAGTCCCTCTCAGGCTCTTGTCCCAGTCTATGCCCCAGACCCAGCTGTGGCCCTCAGCCAGGTTTCCCACCCCCACCCCCTCATCAACCATCCTTCACTGTCCTAAGTTAAGGAGAAGAGGGGCAGGGCTAGGCCTGCTCTCTGGAGCAGACAGCACAGCCTAGCCCAGGGCTGCAAAGCATGCTGTGGGATTATGATTTAACTTGAACCAGGAAGGAGTCTGGGACAGAATTTTCATAAACCGGTTTGACCCAAATCAGTTAAGTTTGATGCTACATTCAACCAGGTTTATCTTAAGCCAGTTTCAGCTATTTTGAAACTGGCTTATATGCACTGAACTTCTGATCTGCTACAGGTTTAAACCAGTTTCTGATCACGTAAACCGGTTTGTGTGTAACTTCTGTCCCTAGCCAAGAACATTAAAGCAGCTTCTCCTCACTCATCTACCACTAGCAAAAAGAAATGAATAAATCTTTGCTCTCAGAGGAAACAGCTCCTTATTAACTTGGAATACAAAACTCTGTGAGAACTTTGAGATAGCTTTCGACTTTACAATAGCTTTTATCAAGATGCTGCATCAAACAAGGACAGGCTGGTTCATGAAAACATAACTTCTCCTACAGTTTTCTAAGTATGTGGAAAGACGCTGCATTATTTTCTTGGATTTCCATCTGAAGTGGTGAAAGTGATAAATACTAAACAAACACTCCAAACCCATTACTATCTATTAGTACCTGTCTTTCACTGAGGTCCAGATTTACTGCTCTTTTGTATCTCCCCAGCCTGGTCAGATAGTTATGATGGAAAAATTCTGCTTATGTAAGCATGTATCCACGTTCAGTTTGGCCCTATATGCTTGAATCCTCGTACCAAAACTAGCAATGACTCACTTTAGGTGAATGTCTAAAACATCTCTTTTAGGATTCTGAGTGAGAGTTACATTTGTACCACATGTCTCTAGAAGTGCATTGCTCCTGGATAAAGAACAGCAATGTGGTGAATGCAGTTAATACCCAGAATGGTACCATTTGAGCACTGTTTCATGTTACAGTAATAAACTCTGAGGTCTGTTCTTTTCTAGAAAATCTTTAGTATTTAGTGGCATAAGGCCTAAATGCAATTATATACCTGTATAAAAATACAATACTCATATTAGGGATATTTGGTAAATTCATTATACTGAAAATAAGATTCATAGACATTAGGGCTGGAAAGAACCTCAGAAGATCGAGTCCAGCCCCCTGCTCCAGGGGTAGGAAGTCAGCTGGGGTCACAGGATCCCAGCAAGATAAACATTCAAATGTCTCTTAAAGGAGTCCAAAGTAGGCGCTTGCACCACCTCTGGGGGCAGTCTGTTCCAGGCCTTGGGGGCTCAGACAGTAAAGTTCTTCCTTATGTCCTGCCTGAAACTGTCTTGGAAGAGTTTGTGAATGTTTGACCTTGTCATCCCTTGGGGCAAGATCAAACAGTCAGAAATGGTCATAAAACAAGAAAGGCCTTGATTTTATGCCCTATGCAGGTAATAGCGACCATGTTTCTAGGTGATACTCAGAGAAGTCTTCATGGCCATAAGCAGAGGGGTTTTCTCCTCTTGATATTTATGAGACTTACATGGGAATGCTGCAGGAATACAGTGAGGGGAGACAATTTCAAGGAGTACCTGCATTCAATAGATCATTGATAATTTTCTCCCTACCACCACTGGCTGCACACCAAAATAATTCCATGAGCGGTAAGTAGCTCTTGATGTCATGACAATTGGAAATAACACTGCAGGCATTTTACTAAGACTGCAGGGCAACTTTCATGATAAAAATAGCTGAGAGAGGCAAGTTGTCCGTTGGGCAATAGTTCTCTAGGTCAAAGTCAAAGCTTTGAGTTGTAAACTCATGAAAGTCAGTCAGAAACCGAGAACCTCAGTCCCATGCCCCTGGGATACTGGTGCACAAGGAGTCAAATGTAATTGTCACAAAGGCAGAGATGAAACATTTGTCCTTCATGCTTGCCAGCATGTGGCTTGAACTAGGGGTTTAATACAGTTGGTAACATTAGCCTACACAGATCCTGTGTGAAACTGAAGCTGCTTGGGCAACTCATTATTTAGATGCTCGTACCATTACTGGGTACTCGCTTTAACTAAATGTCAAGACTGTAAATTTTTGGCAGCAGCAGTTGTCAGCAGCAGGCTTTAAACAGCAGACTGCCAGTCTCAATATTTATTTATTTACACGTCACTGAATGTATGAGCATTCGGCATTTGGGAAAGCATTTTTGAGTGGGTCTATAAATTGTATGCAAATCACCAAATAATGTCATGGTTTACCATGCACAACTTTCTTGGCTAGCACAGCACTCTAATAATCTGGGGCTTTAAGGTGGAGAGGGAAGTTACACATCGTAGCATGTTCGGTAATTCTTCATACATACACTGCTTGATAAGCAGAGTGTAGACCCATTTACATAAGAAATATTTTCTCACTAGAAACTTATTTGCCTGGTAGCCATACAAGCAGCAAAACTATAGTAATTGGGAGCATTCAAGCCCGTTTGCCAGTCACTGAAACTACTGAGGGCTTTGCTCAGAGCTTACTATAGTTTCCATACGTTATAGTACTAGAGCAGTACATTGAAAAATGTACTTCTTTGTACTCTTTTCTAAGATTGCTAAATTGAATCAAGAAACACACAAGCATGAAATCCTAGGTCCTGTTTTTTCTTAACTGCGTTAACATTTAGCCTCCGCATGTCCCTGGAAATGCTGATGCAGGGAAGCCAGGATATTTGTACATCTCAACTTTAACCAAGTTGTCATGCTTTTTCAACAATCTGATTGCAAGTAATTCATATGTTGTATATTTATTTGTGAACATCAGATTTAATAGATGCAGGCATGAGAAAAAACATTATGTT